CCAAGGGATGCTAATGAATTTCACAAGAACTTATCCCAGAAAACAAAATAAATAAATAAATAAATAAATAAATAAATAAATAAAAGTTCATACCCCAGAATCACCTCTGCCCATCCTGGGTCAGGAATTGCCACTTGTGACAGGTCTTCAGACTGTTACCACTCTCCTTAATGTCTCCCCCCAATGTAGTGCTGTCCCCAGCAGCACAGCTTCATGGCGGGGGTGGTGATGGCATTATGTGGTGCTTAGAATAGGCACCCCCCCCACTGACCTTTCCACATACATCTCCATCTTATTCCCCACACTGACAACTTCTCCAGACTTTTCATCATGTTCTCACCATCCACCATGGATAACAGACTGTGGGAACCACTCTAAAATGCCAGGAAGCACTTCTTTGGAGAATAGGCTTACACCATTTTCCAGCTCTGTATCCTGCCAGGATCCTCTCAGTGGCACCAACCCCACTAAAGACTCAGAAGGCAGGAGCTGAAAACCTCAAGAAACACCCTGAGCACCTGAGTCCTTGTCCCATGCCCCAGACAAAGGCCATGAAGCCCTCCTGTCTCCACCCTGGCTCTGCTTGTCTCTTCTGGTAAAGCACAGACCCCATCACCCTGGTCATCACCGTGAGCTTTGCTGAAGTGCTTTGCTGCCCATTGGTGCCTCAGCTGTCATTATACAGAGTTGTTTTTCTCATTCCCCAATCCTGAACCTTCCTCATGCATAATTCAAAGCCCCGTTAAACTATTTTAACTAAATCTAAACAACAGCTTCTCCCTTTGTCACTGTCAGATGCTGAAAATTAGCAGGAATACTGTTGACGTCTTCCTGGAAAGCCTGCCTCAGGTTGGGTTCTCACCGCAGTGTTCAGATGACCAGGAGTGGGAGGGGAGATGAGCTAGCCCATCCAGTGTGATTCAGGACACCAGAGAATCACCTTCCTTACCAAAAATTCCTGTTCAACAGCGTGGGAGGATGTTCATTTAGAACATGATTGAGTCTTATATCTAGACATGTTTCTCTTTTCACCTCATCAATCAGGATGCTCAGAGCCTGGTCTGTGGTGACTCTGGTTGAGTTAGGGAGCCTGTGGCATGTGCTGATTTCCCTTTGTCTCGTTTTCTTCCTTGAAGTATATAACACTGTACATACTGTATATGTTCATTTTCACAAGCTACAATGATATAAATGCTATTAAAAGACAGTGAAGTTCTAACCTGATAGAACTATAGCTACACATTAAGAGTTAGGACAAAGATTGTTCTAGGGTGGTATACAACTATGAGTACTTTATTTTCTTCTCAAATGTACATTTTAGCATCTTTATTAGAAAAGTAGATGTTCATGTTAGAAAATATGAAAAGGACAAAAAAATGCAAAGGTGGAAATTAGTTTCATTTATCATCCACCTCTCCAGACAGCAGTGTTAACCGAGGGTCTCACACATGCCAAGGAAGTAGCTGAGCTATGTCCCCCAGCATCCAGTCTTTGTCTTTTTTTTTTCAAGACAGGGTTTCTCTGTGGCTTTGGAGGATGTCATGGAACTAGCTCTTGTAGACCAGGCTAGTCTCAAACTCACAGAGATCCGCCTGGTTCTGCCTCCTGAGTGCTAGGATTAAGGTGTGCACCACCACCGCCCAGCTGCATCTAGTCTTTTTAAAGGCATGTGTGTGTATCAGTTTACCAACTGTACATATCCCATATTTAATTTTTCTATACATTTTGTCATCCAGGTTTCATGAAACAGTATGTGTCAGGCATTTTCTCATTTCACTCTGTAGTTTTCTACGCCGTGGTTTTAAATTGCACAAGTTATTTCTGCAAGCAAGGGTGCAGTAAAGAAACCAGCAGGATAGCTGCTCCATGAATTGGGAGGAAGGTTTTTATTGTAAATAAGAGAGAGAGAACATCCAGAAGCATCAAGAAGATTCCAGTAGAAGAAAAGAGAGGAAGCAAGGAAAGAGGGAAGGAAGGAAGAAAAGAAATGAAAGGAAAGGAAAAGGAAAGAAAAGAGGAAGAAGCAGACTGGACATGGTCAGGGCTATCTACAAGAGAAGCAAGAATAGCAAGAGAGAGACTAGCAAGGGCAAAGGGAAACCTTATTGTATAAAGAGAGTAGGAAGCCATCTGTAATCTGAAACAGCCTGGCAGCTAGCATATTGGAGGTGAGAAGGGCTAAAAGGCTAACATGGGCTTTGAGATACATAACGAGTACATGAGAACAGGAAGGAGGAGTCTAGAGGCTAGGGTGGGCTTGTTTTTCATTTGTAATAGATAGGGAGGTAGATGCCTCACCAGCCACAGAAAAGGGAGATAGGGAAGTTGGCCTTATCATTTTGCAGGTTCCTGAGGAAAGCAAAAAGCATCCTTTAGCAATCCTATAGTTGAATGTGAGCTGAGCCAAGACTGTCATTTCTGCACATCTGCACTGCACTTTTGAGTTGGAGACCTAACAATCAGATCTTTATTTTCTGTGTACCATATTTATGTAACAAATCCCCCTTTTTGGACATGTAGGCTGTCCACGTTTTTAACCCTTCCTCTCTGGGTTCACTTAGGAGATTAGATAAGCCAGCTTTGCTGTGTCTCCTCAACTGAGATGCTCTTCTTTCTTCCCTGCAGTGGCCTCTGGGTCTTCATCTAGCTCCAAGTATGACCCTGAGATCCTGAAAAATTAAATTGCCACTGCAAAATCCCGGGTAAGGATCTTCACAGCATCCTCACTAACCACTCTCTAGCCAACCCTCCAGGCCATGGTAGCCAGGGCCAACAAGGCTCCAGGATAATAGTAGTTGTATTAACGATAGTACAACAGTTGCCATATAGAGGCATTCACCTTGTGCCTGGCACAGCGTTGGGAACTTCATCTCATGTTCTTGCACCACTCCTTGGAAGTAGCTATTGCCATCTTCTGTACTTTAAAGACAAGCAAGCAGAGACCAAGAACCTTGCCTGGCAAAACAAGAGTCCTCCGTGGGCATTTTAGTTTGGTCCTCTTCCTCCTCCTGATGGCTGCCTGCTTTGCATCATCTTAATTCTTGATGACTTTAAGAGGATAGGTATTATTACCCCCATTGTACTGAGATGGAAACTAAGGCAGAATGGTTAAGTGGCTTGTCTTCAGTACACTGGGTATTTTGAACACTGGTTTCTTTCAGGTCTGAATAATTTCCACATATGAAACCATAAATAGGGGAAGTGGCCTGAGGCAGGATGGAATACTGGGGACTAATAGGCTGGTTTTTCAGCTCTAGTACACTGCGCCCATACTGGAATGTGAACACCATGTTTCTAGATGTCAGGTATTTTTGGAAAGCACTGTGTATGGAGGTGTAGTGCATGAAGTCTCTTAGAACATAATCAGTAGCTCTCACTGACAGGCTGTCAGCACTCAGCAGGCCAAACAAGCTGCAAGTGGGATCTGACTCTTGGTGGTGTCTTGCCTCTCACCTCCATGCAAAGTACTCTCAGACCCATCACCAGCTGTAAGTTGTGTGTGACCCAAGTAACTGCGACAGTCCCTATTCATCACAACAGGCAAGAAGAGGTGAGAAGGGGTCAGTGGTGCAAGAGAAAAACTATAGCTAAGAAGTGGGGAGGCCTGACTATCACAGTCAGCCTCTGATTACTCCCTGTTTCCCTGGTGTAGAGACTGGCTGACAGGACCTACAGAGACACTGGCTGAGATGCTGACTCCCAAACCTACACTGGTGAAGGGAGGGTGCTGTGTCATATAGTGCCCAAGGGATGTGGGTGGCTCCTTATACAGCAGCAGTACAGTCAGGGGCTCTGGGCTTCAGCCTACAGCTCCACACCTGCCTCTGACTCCATCCTCTGTGTGGTCCTCTGCCATCTAGGTCAACAAGTTGAAGAGAGAGATGGTCCACCTGCAGCACGAGCTACAGTTCAAAGAGCGTGGCTTTCAGACCTTGAAGAAGTAAGTCTATCCCGCAGTGGAGAGCATAGGCAGTCTTCACCCCAGGTCCCCTCCTGTTCTCTCTGCCCCACCCTCCCATTAGTTCCCTTCCTCACTTCTTTCTCAAGAAGCATCCCTCACAATTCTGTTTAACTTCTTTCCCTCTGGCACTCACTGAAGATGCCATCACCCAAGGGTAGAGGTAAATAGAGTCATTTTAAACCATGGAGCTGTTATCATCTTTTGAGCTTCTAAACCCATTAGGATCAACAGAGTCTTACTCCCCAGGCCTAGAAGCAAGTGTCAAGCATTTCTGTGCACACCTGATCTCTGCTAATTGACAGCTAGACCATCAGTCACAGACCAAGTGAACCTTTTAGCCCCAAGGCCCCCAAAGTGAGCTGCCACTTCACTGCTACCCCACTGCAGAACTAGCAATCTCTTCCAGCACTAAACATATTCCTAGAGAATTATATTCCTGGCTTTGTGCACAGTCCCCTGTGGGTGGCACAAAGAGCTTCCGCACTAAACAGACAGATGTCGTTTTCATTTGTAGAAGTGGACTTACACCTAAGTAAGGGATACGGCTTGTTTATTTCCCATGCACTGTATTATCTGTTGTGATGTTGACTGTGGCCATGCAGATGTGTAGAGCCTTTGCTATGTGCTAAAAAAAATACCTTCAGGTGTTTCTGCATGATGATGTTCATCTGATCCTTGTGGCAATCTCAAAGGAATGGTTTTTTGTTTTGTTTTGTTTTTAGCTATAGCCCCATTATATAGATGAGGAAACTGAGTGGTATACACTGAATGCTCAGTGAATATCAGCCTGCAGTTATAATTAGACACATGTAATTGAGACTTTTGTCATGTTTGGGAGCCTTTTTTGTTTTTGTTTTTTGAATAGGGCCTCATTCTATGCTCAGGTTGGCCTCAGACTTATAGCCAACCTTCTGTGTCAGGCTCTCAAGAACTGGAATTAGATGTGTATGCTACCACTCCTTATTTAACTAAATTGTGTTCAGCCTATCTGGTGGCTCCCTTGGTGAGCACTACATAGGTAGTCTAGCAACCCTCACCAAAACACCAGGCAGGTTACCAGGATGCTTAGCTTTAAGAGACTTCCAGTCTTGAGGAGGCTGTGCCTGTATGGACACCAGTTCTGATAGTCAACACTTTCTCTCCCTACCCCAGCTCCACCCCATACCATTTCATTACCCCCGCCCCCTGCTCAAGACTCAAGTCTATCCTAATCATTCACTGAGTACCTGTGAATCCTGAGTATCCTGCCTTGGGACATATCAGCGATTCCTGTCATAACAGTAGTTCAAAAAGTTACGTGTGTAACATATAGTTATGTATGTAACCCCTAGCTGAGGACCAGTAGGTGGTGGTTGCTGTTTTTGTTGCTTCACCTCCTCCTCCTCTTCTTTTTCTTCATTGAGAGTTTCTGTTTTGTATACCTCTGATTGTCCTGGAACTCACTCTGTAGACCAGGCTGGCCTTAAACTCACAGAGATCCACCTGCCTCTGCCTCTCGGGTGCTGGGATTTTAAGGTGTGTCCCAGCATGACTGGAAGTTGGTTCTCCTTTACCTGCTGTTATCCCAAAAGCCCTCACTACATGAGGGAGCCTCCAGGAATCCAGCACAACGGATGATATAAGCAAATGTGAGCTGAGGATGGTGTGCACACACCTGTAATCCCAACCCTTGCTAGGCTGAGACAGGAGGGTGAAGAATTCAAAGCCAAGTTAGGCTACATAGCAAGACCTGCCTCAAAATCAAACAGCAGCAACAAAAGAAAATGTAACCTGACTGAAGATGTAGCTCAATGGAGGCTGCTTCCTAACACTTGGTTCTCATGCTGTGAGTCACGACCTCTTTGGGTCACCTAAGACCATCTGCAATCAGATACTTACATTACAATTTATAACAGTGGCAAAATTGTAGTTATGAAGCAGAAAAAAAAAAACTATTTTATGGTTGGGGGTCACCATAATATGAGGAACTGTATTAAAAGGCCACAGCATTAGGAAGGTTGAGAACCACTGCCTTGAATTTAACTCCTAGTCCTGGTAGTGAATTTACAGATATGGCCCTGTATTAGATTATGCATTTGTGTGGAATGTTTTTCTTTTCTCATTTAAAATTTTGACTTTTATATCTTTTTTATATGTCTTATATATGTGCAGTTTACATTTGTATATTTGTCAATCATATCTTTCAAACCAGATTCTGAGTTTGCACTTTCGGCCAGGGGTTGCACTTTATGCTCCAAGGTATGCTCCTTGCTCCTTAGTGAGCGTCAGAGACGATTCAGGGCAATAGTGTGAGTGAGCACAGACATTCCTAATTTGACCTGTTAAAACCACCTGACCCTGTGTGCAGCTCCAGAAGCTTTGAAGAATGGTTTAAGGCTGCTCATTCCCCACCTCAAGAGCTCCACTTAAAACACTTCCCATTATCCTCAGGGCCTCCTCCACAAGCCTGTTTTATCACGTTGTCACCCTGTAGCAGCACTGAAAATTCTTGTCCTTTGGTAGGCTGACAGTCAGACCCTAAAAGACAACCCTCCCTGCCCCTCCCCAGTGTGAGAGCTGGCCCAGATGGGACTCCTTTGCAGCCCTGGCTGCTCACAGTCCTCAGCTAGAAGTAGCAAACTCCCAGTCCAGGGTGGAGAAAGGTATCATCAGCTCTAACACAAACCTTAGCAGAAGAGAGTTAGGAATGTAGCTGCACGAGACAGCGGGTCTGGGTTCAAATCCCAGGCACTTAGGACCTTGGAAAAATAACTCAACCCTTCTAAGTTTTGATGTCTTCATCTTAAGAGTCCACGGTTGTCGAGACTGAGCTAGAAAAATCCCTGTCTAGGATGAAACAGAATCTGGCACAGATTAGGAGCTCAGTGAGGAGTATGGGAGTGGACCACTAGTTAGTTGTCGTCTTAGGCTTGGGAAGAGGGACTGTACATCTAACCTGAGCTTGCTTCTTGCTAGAGAGCCCTGTTATATCAGCTGCCTCATTTCATTCCCTTTACCTCATTAAGAATAGATTTTGTTGTGTCCCCTGTTGTTAATGAAGACACTGACAGGAAAAAAAAAATGTCCAAGGCCACCCAAACAGCAAGGGTCAGAATTGGGACTGGAACCCAAGAACTTTTGGGGCTTTGTGTTTTTATGCAAGGGAGCACAGTAAAGAAAGTGCGGACATGACCTCTCCAACGTTAGGGGGAGGTTTTTATCATGAATAAGAGAGAGAACATCCAGAAGTGCCTGGAAGAGCAAGAGCAGAGAGAAGGAAAGGCATGGGCATGGCTAAGGCTAGAGAAGCAGGTCGATGGGGGAGCAGAGTTGAGATTGTGAGATAGAGTGAGATAGACAATAGAGCATGGTGAAAGAACAAGACGATAGCCAGAAATACAGAATAGACAGACAGAGTGCAAGCCATAGTGAGTGGGGATAACTAGAAATAGAGAAAGTGGGTGGACAAATCACATGGAGTGTAAGGATCATTAGTTTCTGGGGAGGGTACTGATGTATAACAAGTACTTGTGATACTGGGGAAGCCTGGAGGCCAGCATGAGCGATGCTGATAGACCCCACAGGTAGCCTATGTTCCCTTCTGCTTTAGGTGAGGGAAATGACTCCTTTTGGCAGATGAGAACTGGATTCACAGGTTCCTGAGGAAGGCTCCTTTTCATCTCACCACCAGAAACTCCTAGAGTCCAGTTTGAGCTCATTTCTAGATAGATAGACTGCCTGGGACCTAACAGTGTTCATTTTTATTATTTACTTATTTATTGTTTGGGGCTAAGGATAAAACCCAAGGGCCTCACACATGCAGGACATGTGTTCTAGGCACTGAGACACATCTAGCGTTTGTCTTGTTACTTGTTTTTGTTGTTGTTGTTGTTGTTGTAGTTTTGTTTGTTTTGGGGGGATTAGCACCCAAGAATCAAACCTCACTCATGGTAAGCACATAATCTATTCCCTGAGCTACACCTCCAGTCTAGAACTGTTGAATTAGTATCAATTATTACTACTGAGGTGCTTGGGTATTTATTGGATTTTGAAGTTGACATCTCAGTCCCTCTCTAGACACCACCCCAGATAACCCTCTCACCAGACCCTCAAACTCCCTTGGAATTGCTTTTCAGGGTCTAGTAAGAGAGGACTTGGGCATTTCCTTCGAAGAACCTGGGAATGGTGGACCTCATTCTTCAGGAGTAATTTAGGGAGTTTCCAGAGGGACTTTGCAACATATCACCATCACTGTTAGAGACTGGCATACAGTTCTGCTCAGCAAGAGCTTATGTGTTTGCCTCCATGATACCAGCCAAGAGTTGTTGAGCAGCTATGTCTGAGAATCCATGAGCTTGATTCATAGTTTTGTTTTGTTTGAATAAAAAAAGTTAAAAAGAAAAGAGAAAGACTGATGAAGACTGACGGAAACCTCTCAAGGACAATGAAAAAGGAAAATCAAAACCAAAAGTGTGGGGCTGTGGCCTGCAGCTCGACCCCTTATGAGCAGGAGGGAGTTGAGACAGGTTATTGTTTTGATGGGAGAAGGGCATGGCTATCTTTCTGCATGCCACAGAGCCCCTGTGCCAGAAGTGTCTGGACAAGATGGGATGAGCCTGTTACTGTCAGAGGCTATGTCTGGCTTCTGAGGCTGCTGGGCAAGAGTGTCCCCAAAAGTCTGAAAGAAAGGTCAGCTGCATAATGTGGAAATCCTGAAACACATCTCCCCACCTCCCAACACACACAACTTTTCTTTCCTTTTACCCTCCACCCCAAAAGATTATTTTACTGAGTATATAATGGTGACCCTTTGTTCTCCCCCACCCCCTCTCAGTCCAGCTCTTTCCCGAGTCTTCCTCTCTGAGCTGTGTGGTACAGCCGAATTCCAGAGTCCAGGTTGCTAAGGGCCTGGAGAAATCAGGTAAAGCTCTTGCAGCCAAGCACACAAACAGCTCTGTCCATCCTTCTGGGGCTGCAAAGCCATTCTTGCCCTGTTGGCAAAGAAAAGCTCTGCCCAGCCTTCAGACCTGTTGAAGCATACAGCTCTCCCCTGCACACACCACCGCCTGACAATAGTTTGGGTCAGGAAACCTCCCATCCTTCCCACACTTTGGGGATGCTTCTCTGGACCTTTGTGGAGCAATGTGAACTTTTTCAGACAAAATCTGAGACAGATACTGGCCAACCTGGCAGCCTTGCCCAGATCTAAGTCCTCGAAAGAATACACAGACTATTTTTAGTGGGAGACACAATTGGGGCTTTGTTTTGTCTCCACGGAAGCAGAAGTTACTGTAGGGGGCAGCTGTGTGGGAACCCCTCCCTGCTGCCCTCTCCCCTACACCAGAACCACGAAGCCAGGGAAGAAACCTGCTCCGTCCCCCCTTTCCTCCTTTCCAAGTGATTTCCCACTCGGGCTATTTTTAGCACAGGACAGTTTGGGCTGTAGCAGGAAGCCAGAGAGGAATGCCTGTGAGGGTTTCTCATCCTGGAATAATGGGTTTGTGGTGTTCCCTAGACTGTTAAACTTCCCCTTCTCCACCCTCCACTGAAGCCTCAGGCCAGCCTTTGATGAAAACATGAAGCCATAAGTGTGTCTACTCTCAGAACCTTCTCCAGTCCTCTTCAGATCCTTACCCCTCAGCCATCTCTGGTCACAGCTCAGTGGCAGAGCGCTTGCCACACATGTGTACAACCTTGGATGTGACCTCAGAACTTATGAAAAGGAGACGGGGAGACACTCATCTTTTTTCCTTCGACTTTTCTTTTCATCAGAACAAACCTATATGTAGGGTCTGGATAAGCCAATAATCTCCAGGCTACAGGTGTTTAATCCCTTACATTTGTTCACTACTGCCTAGTTCTCCATAGGATTTAAGTCATTTATCCCATTTGATGTTGAGAATAACACTGAACAGAGCCAGGCAGATGCCACAGTCTAGGCTTCCTTAGAACACCAAGGTGTGTGTGGTAGAGCACAATGCCCAAGGCTACACTGTAGATGGTGTAACAACTGAGAGTCTTTTAAAAAAAAAAATAATTATTCTTGTCTATTTTTATCGAAACAGATTCTTTGAAGGACTTTTAGTTTTTTGCTGTTTTCTACAGTATGTGCTCAAGAGTAATGATACTTTGTGGAGAAGGAAGTCAAACTTGGAAAAGAGTGTAAAAATGCATTTGACTTCATCAGATAATAATACACCTAGAGAAAACTGAGTTCAAAACAAAAGATCTGTTGAAACCCCCTTCTTAAGCACCAATATCAACTGAGAGTCTTTTGTCCTCACCTTTCCCTCATTGTGTTCTGTAATTGTGCATGTTTATTGCCGACAGGGTCTCAGGTGGTGAGATGGCTCACCAGGTAAAAGTGCTTGCCACTTGAGGTGAGAACTGAGTTCAACTCCCAGAAGCCACAGAAAGATGAAGAGAAGAGAACTCCACAAAGTTAGGCACAGTGGTTCTCCTCCCAGCGTGATTTGAGAACCATACATTTGGACAATTTATGGAAACTTTTTTCTTTCTTTTTTTATTGTTTTGAGACTGTGGAGCCTTGGCTGACCTGGAACTCATAGACATCTGTCTGCCTCTGCCTCCCAGGTGCTGGGATTTAAAGGCGTAGGCCATCACACCTGTCAGGAAGTCACAATTCAAGACTGGAGCATTAACATTTTGTGAATCAGTGCCCAAGACACTGCTAAGCAGCCTGAGATGTATAGGAGAGGAGACATGCCATCTCCTTACCTCCAACTCACAGTCTTTGCCAGATTCTAATACCATTCATGTTCATCTCTGTTCTCCAGGGTACCACAGTTAAAATGGGGATACTCCTTCATAAAGTCTAAGTTGCTGACATGACACAAGCAAAGTTTCTCAGCTCTTGGATACATGTTATAGGAACCTTCCCCGCTTCAGCCTGGCCTACACAGGAGGGAATCGGGGATGATTTTCAGTTAGAGCTCATACTTAGATGAGCCCAACTCTAAGAACGATGTTGTTTCTACATTCTGCAGCCACACATATCTGCAGTTTAACAAGACTCTTCTATACCTTCTCCCCCCACCCCAGTAGGGCCTGGAGACAGCTGTGCAGGATGGAGATGGGAGACTTGAGAGTACCTGTGCTTTCCCCCGCTCTCTTATGTCTGATCGCTCTCATTTCCTGACCCCTAGAATTGACAAGAAAATGTCCGATGCTCAGGGTGGCTACAAACTGGATGAGGCCCAGGCTGTGTTGAGGGAAACAAAAGCCATCAAGAAAGCCATCACCTGTGGAGAAAAAGAGAAGCAAGACCTGATCAAGGTGATGAGGGCCCCCAGGGATGGGGGCCCCTGGTACCCTGTGTATAAGGACTTCACACCGGCTACTTTCACACACCACACAAACCACTTAGTTCTCATTACAGTATGTTTCCCTAGTCCAAACACTTTTTGAGTATTAATATGGTACTACCATGGAAAATGCTATACCTGACTTTGTATGGCAGGCACAGACACAATATGGGTGTTTCAAAAATATCAAGTTACTTTCTGGCTGTGTGCGTAAAACATACATGAACCATCAATTGTGTGTTTAGACTTTGATCCCACCCCTAGGATAACTTATTATGTAATGCTAATAGTCTAAAATTAAAAGAAAGAATCACAGGGATTTTTGAATAAGGTATACTTACTACCCTCTACCGCTTCTTGGGATTGTCCCTCCCCACTTTTATTAAGGAGAAAACAGAGGCTCAGGAACACTGAATGACTTGCTTAAGACCATACAGTCATTGCCAGTGCCAAAGCTGGAATGAAAGCTTTGCCTGGTTGTACTACCAAAGCCAGGTCCCTACCTCTAGCTCTCACCACCCAGCTTGGTTTTTGAATTTTAAAATTTACTTATTATGTATACAGTGTTCTGCCTGCACAATAGAAGAGGGCACCAGATCTTATTATAGATGGTTGTGAGCCACCATGTGGTTACTGGGATTGAACTCAGGACCTTTGGAAGGGCAACTAGTGCTCTTAACCCCTGAGCCATCTCTCTAGTCCCCTCCAGCTTGTTTTCTTAATGGAGCCGTTTAACCTGAGCATCACAGTGTCCATTATTCTCTCTCCTGTGTTCTCTGTGATGGGAACTGAACCACGAAGATCAATTCCACAGCATGGTGATAGGGCTAAGTGCCTTGCATGCATGGCTCAAGTTATCTCCATTCTACAGATAAGGACAGTCTGGTCCAGACTGTAAGTGGCAGAGCCATCAATCAGACCCAGAACACGTGATTCATAAGCCCATTGTTTCTCCCCTGAATGTAATCCCCACTCAAAACCACCTAACTCTGAAGACACCTTCCCATCACTTGACCAACACATCAGGAGTCCAAGACTCAGAATTGCCATGGCTAGATTTGGGGGAAACTTTGGCAAACAAGAGGACTGTGGACCAGTGAGAACAAGGTACTTGTGGGTAGCGAAGGGTAGTCCTGCTGTGATTAGTGGTTAAGAGCCTGGAGCTGTCTCTTTCAGCATCTCATTGGTACAGTAAAGATGATTAAAAGATTCCTGGGAGAACCTGTTGGATGCAGTAGAACTTCAGTGAAGCTGAGCTGCTCAGTGTTGGTTATCACATTACATTGTCTTTTAATTGATTACTACTGTAATTGACACACCTGTAAAGTAACTGTCTTAGTTAGGGTTATAAATACAATGATGAAACAGCATTACCAAAAGCAAGTTGGGGAGGAAACGGGTTTATTTTGCTTAACACTTCCACATCATAGTCCACCTCTGAAGGAAGTTGGGACAGGAATTCAAACAGGACAGGAACCTGGAGATGAGAGCTGATGCAGAGGACATAGAGGAGTGCTGCTTACTGGCTTGCTCCTCCTGCCAGTCTCAGCCTGCTTTCTTATAGAACCCAGGACCACCAGCCCAGGAGTGGTACCTCCTCGGGGAGCTGGGCCCTCCCCCATCAGTCACCAATTAAGAAAATATCCTATGAGTTTGCCTTCTGGAGGTGATCTCTCAATTGAGGTTCCCTCCTCTCAGATGACTCTAGCTTGTGTCAAATTGACACAGAACTAGCCAGCACAGTAAGACCTGGAATTTTCTCACTTCACAGAAAAATAGGTATATGCATAGAGAGGGTCATCAGCTAGCTCAGGTAACGCAGAGAGAAACAGTGAGAGTTCCACCTTAGGGGCCTGGAGAGATGCCTCAGCTGCTAAGGGCACTGACTGTTCTTCCAGAGGTCCCCGGTTCAATCCCCAGCATTCACATGGTGGTTCATAAACACCTATGTCTGCAGTCCCAGGGGATTCAAAGTCCTTTTCTGGAGTCTGAAGGCACTGCCAATAAGCCACACCACTCACTGCTTCCCCACCCCTCCCTACACTGCAGAGCCTTGCCATGCTGAAAGATGGCTTCCGGACAGACAGAGGGTCTCACTCTGACCTATGGTCCAGCAGCAGCTCTCTGGAGAGTTCCAGCTTCCCAATGCCAAAGCAGTTCCTGGACGTGAGCTCACAAAGGGACATCTCTGGGAGTGTAAGTTGAGGGGGGAGAAGTGGCGTCTGGGAGGCCACCCCATCAGGGAGGGTGCCTGTCCTTCTTCACCTGAGGAGCTAGTCCTCAGCTGTTAACTCAACCTTGTGGAGCTGTAAGATGGTATCATGGGCCGTTTCTTTACCCAAAGTACTTGAAGTGTATAAGTTTGAGACCATTCTTATGGCCCAAAGGAAGAAAAGTATTTTTGTTTAGCCGTCTTCGCCCACAGTCCACATAGCCAGCCCAGTGACTGGGAACTATTCTTGGCTCTGCCCACGTAAGCTGTCAAGTCTCCTGTGAGCTATGGAAACCTTGCTCATCACGGGCCTTGCTGCAGTAGCCGTGTAATTCTTATGTGTAATTCTTAAACAAAATTCTTTGTTCTTCTCTTGACCTCTAGTTCAACACCAGCAGCAGCAATCAGTTGGCCGAGAAGGTCAGGCTGCGCCTGCGCTATGAAGAGGCTAAGAGAAGGTAAGTCAGGCCGGAGCTGGGGAAGGTCATAATTGGAACTCCTACGGTGGGGTCCCATGGGCACACCTCTTTTCAACACTCACATAGATTATAAAGATAAGTATCAGCATATTTATATGTTAATCCTCCTGGATTCAGAGAGGACATGACTGGCCCAGGGCACTATGCTAGACAAAGTTGAACTACATTTGAACCCAGGTCTCTTTAACCTCAGAGCTTAGTAATTTTTCTGTTTACCTGGCTTGGATTTGATAGTCAATGCTTTCAGATGTTCTTGGTTTGAAGGAGCAGTTTGGTTTGAAGGAGCAGTAACTTTGATTTGGCTCAGCAACAGGTGAAAAAAAAAGACTACAGACATTTCTCCCTTCATCAAGAAAATGTTATTTGTGGCAGTCTTTTGTTGTTGTCATATTGGGGATTGAACCCAGGACCCTGTGCATGCCAAGCATGTGCAACAATCGAGTCTCCAGCTGTTCCTCTAGATGAGTTGTTGTTTGGTTTCTCCATGTTACCCAGGCTGGCTGCCTTGAACTGATCCATAGACCAGGCTTTTTAAGCTTTTGGGGGTCAGGGTGAGGTCCTGGGGATTGAATCTAGGGCCTTGCACATGATAGGTACTTATTTCCTACTAATGAGCTAAGACTCCCATCTGACCTACTGTTATTATTCGTATATGATGTGTGTGCAGGAACAGTCTAGGGGGGAACACATGTCACTGTCACATATCAGAGGACAACTGTGTGGAGTCTTCTCACTCCTTCCACACTCCTGAGAATTGAATTCAGGTCTCTGCGTGGCAATTGCCTTTATCTGCTGAGCCATCTCACCAGCCCCACAGATGTTCTTGTGAATGAAAATGAATTTAATTATGAAATCAATCTTAAAATCCTGAAGTAGCACCTCCTGCTTAAATAGCCGGTGCTTCCCAGCAGCTTGGGCTCCCGGGATCCAGATGTTCTGTGCTACATGGACTTGTAAGCAGTTGTGTTTTACCACCACAGTGACAACATAATAAAGCCAGCGTTTCTACAGCATTTGTGGAAAGTCATAAAACAATTGTGTATTGTACTAAAAACTTGTGCACTTACAGGCTTATTTAATTTTAAAAACTTGCAGCAGGACCAAGGAGATGGCTCACTGGGTAAGGGCGATGGCTAACAAGTCTGACAACCTGAGTTGGATCACGGGCATCCGCGTGGCAGAAAGAGAGAACTGACTCCAGCAAGTTATTCTTCAACCTCCACACACATGTGGCATGGCATGCAAACCTACACACCCACATAAACAAACAAAATATAAGAAGTCAGGTGGTGGTGGTGCATGCCTTTAATCCCAGCACTTGGGAGGCAGAGGCAGGTGGATCTCTGTGAGTTTGAGACCAGCCTGGTTCCAGGACAGCCTACAAAGCCACAGAGAAACCCTGTTTCGATATATATATCAGAGTTCCTATTTTATTATCTAAATGCTAGAGGGGTGAAAAGTTTGACCTGGGATGTTCCATGACTCTCCCAGGTGGTGCAGTTAGAATTTGAACCCTGGATGTACTTCCAGCTTTGAGTTCATGGTACTCTTTCTACAGAATGCACCATAATGGGAAAGAACTGACTGGCTATTTTGGTGGTGATGCCCATTGCTTCCTAGAACAACTAGCCGGTTCTCGAAGCTTCTCAACAGAACCAGCTAGAATGTAGCGGTGCCCAGCCTGAGGCTCCACCAGTTCCCAAAGAGCAGCACAGCTCTTTACAATAGTGTAAGGAATTCAGTTGACACAAAAGGAATTAAAGAAAAGGGAATTCAGCAGGCTGGCACACCCTTCCTCCAAAAGAGGAACTTTTGGCTTCAGGCTCAGCTAGATCCAGGGTTCAGATGGTACAGCTTGAATTTAATCTCATCTTTTCGGCCCTGCTTGTTCACTTGTCCTCTGTGTTGGCTTCATCCTCAAGCAGGGGTTCCTGATCAAAACAGCAAGCTGTATATCCAGCAGGTCTGTGCTTACCTACTTCCAGGGTTCACACCTCAGAAAGAAAAGGCCACCTTTTTTTCCCTAACAGATGGATGTTTTATTTGGGACTTTTGTTTGGCTGATTTGGGGGTAGTGTGTAACTATGTTCTTGGTTTTTAAGACAGGGTCTTGCTATTACTTCCAGGCTGATCTCAAAATCATCATCATCCTGCCAAAACCTCCCAAGCCGAGTTCCCAATAATTTTGATAAATATTGGGTTGGAGAGTCACTGATAGTTTTGAATGGCCTGCCATTGTTGCAGTACCAATAGAGGATAGGAGATTGCAACTCCCAGAAGATCCAGGTGTAGGTCGTGTGCTCATGCTGGGATGGGGATTGAGGTCAATTCACCAAGCGACCGAGGTTCTATCATGTCCTCAGGACAAGTTGGGATAATAACAAAGGAGGAATCTGATGATGGTAAGGTACAAAAAAAACTATCCTATATACACTATTTCGGGGCTCAGCAAGACAGCAAAAGCAACATTTGTGTATTTGTGCCTCTCATCCTTGACCCTCTGATCTCTTCCAACCTGCAGCATTGCCTATCTTAGATAATTAGTCCTGGAGAGACTGGAGGAGTGAAATGTCGCACTTGGGACTGAGACATTAGATGTCTCATTACAATCCAAAGCTAAATTTGGGAGAAAAGACAGCACTTTATAAGATGAGAAAACAGAGGTTATAGGTCTTAAAGGATAGAAGAGACGCAGCAGTAATTCATGGAAACTTCCCTTGATCGGCGCTTGCCAGGTTTCATCCTCTGTGCATATCTGAAGGAGGGACTGTTAGGTACATCTGACTCTCCCAAGGATGGATGACATAAAGTTTAAAGTATGACAGCATGAGAAAGGTAACCTGGAAAGTATACCCAAGAAGACGTCAGTCACTCCTTCATGTCCTCTTTGAGTTGAGTCCCACCCAAGTTTACCATAACATTCTAGCCTTTAAGCACTGAGGATCAGCAACCACAAACATATTCATCAATTGCTGTATACGTGAATATGAAATTTGAAAAATAACTCAGAATTCTCCAACCAAGGGTTAGAGAAGGGGCTAGAAGGGTTTGTCTATATAGAACTTTGGATACATATCTCAAGGCATCACAAATTTGGTAAAGAAAGTTTGGCTGCAGTTCATGTAAGTGAGCTGGAAAGTCATTAGGTCTGGGCTCACAACAAGGGCTGGCCGCACATGGTGAGTCTTGATCTTGAGTGAGCCATAGAGTGCCTGTCCAATGAGATCAATAAGTCTTTTGTGTCTGCCCCTTAGAGATGCAGTAACACCAGGACCCGAGAACCCAGAGCACTTTGCAGGGGCCAGATCCTAAAAGATAGTGGTGCAGTTGCTTTTGGAAGTTTATAGAAATACTCTTTAAGTTGCATGAGAATAATTTTCAGTGTCTATAGAACATTTGGCAATATAGAGAGAGTTCTTTTTGCAAATTTTTCATGTGGTATTCGTGGACTGTCTCTTGTTACCATCATTGTCCCCACCTTACAGTCAACAATGCTAGGTCTTAGAAAAGTTAACATTCAGGGATGCTAAATGCTTTCCTTAACATTCAATAAGTCCCTACAATTGACCAGGCACTATGCTAGAAACTGTGATACCATTTATTGTTGCTTCTGGGAATCGAACGCAAAGCCTTATGTGTGTGAAAACATAGAACCCCGAAATATCCCCAGCCCCACAAATGATTTTTTTTCCCAATAAATGATTCTTTCCATCATAAAAGTCAAGGCCAGAACTCCTAACTCAGGGTCTCTGAACATCAAGTTCAAGACTGTTCTTACAGTACCATTACCACACTCAGAACTGAGAACACACGTGTAGCCACAGCCCAGTAATTCCCCTTGCTGATGATTCAGTACCATACATACACAGCACACTCTTCATACGTCATCACTGCTTTTCTTACTCACTGTTGAGGCCTAAGTAATTGCTTTGTCATCTCTAAGGCTCAGGGCAGTTTCCTAGTGTTACATAACTAATTAGTGGTTCAACCATTGATAGCAGTGGTGTAGAAACATTATCGAGGGCTTATTATATGCAAATACTATTCTTTGAATGTGTCTATGTATGTCCACATGTGTGCATTGTATGCATGCATGTATAAAAATCATTAGCCAGTCCCCCAGGAAGGAGATCTTCGAATTCCCTTCAGAGATGTGAGCACCTCACCCAAGGTCCCAGAGTTCATGGTAAGAAGCTGTTGCCTGCCATGGTGTCCAGTCTCTACTGCACCAGGCTGAGACCTGATCAAAAGGAAAGCAGTAACTTGTCAAAGTCTACTTTGAGGATGTCCTGGATCCTGGTATTTGATGTCCTATGGAATACCACCTGTTTCCCAATTCCTACAACCCCATTGTTCATCTATCATACTCACCTTCTCAACTCCAGGATAGCCAACCTCAAAATCCAGCTGGCCAAACTTGACAGTGAGGCCTGGCCTGGGGTGCTAGACTCAGAGAGGGACCGACTGATCCTCATCAATGAGAAAGAGGAACTGCTGAAGGAGATGCGCTTCATCAGTCCTCGGAAATGGACCCAGGGAGAGGTGGAGCAGCTAGAGATGGCCCGGAGGCGACTGGAGAAGGACCTGCAGGCAGCACGGGAAACCCAGAGCAAAGCGCTGACCGAGAGGTGGGTTTGGGGTGAGGAGATGTGTCCCATGGGCCCAGAGAAAAAGGAAAGCATGCCAATGTGACCTGACAGCCCAGCAGGAGCCAGGAGTGAGGGGTCAGGGTGGGCATACCTGAGCAGCCTGCTGAGCGCTCTCCTTTAGTGATGTTAGCCTTTCAGAGTGGCACATCAGAAACGATGACTTCCATTCCTGTGCACCAGGACTCTGGTACTTCACACAGGAGGCTCTCAGAAGGGCGTCTGGTCATTGAAGTAAGACACGTAGCACTTGATCACCTGGGGTAGTGATTTTCCAGTGTTGTAACGGTGACTCTCAGTCTCTTAGGTGATGGGAAATTCATTTTTCACACAGTTGAGCATCTCTGCTTTACAAACTAGACTTGTACCTGGTGTGGCTGGGCAGGGGAACTTCCTTACTTATTTCTGCTCCCAAACACATATACACATTTGGAAGACACTGTATGGGTGTTTGGGCCAGGGATGTCCTCTGATATTTTCTCTCTTCTGTTAGACTGTCAGCCCTTGGTACCCATTGGTTCCATATCCTGGGAACCAATGACAGAATGAAAAATGTTTGAAGAGTATATTAAAATTAATATAACAAAAATACAAATATTCAATGCATTATTTCAACAACTAATTTTATAGCACTTACACTGTTTTGGGATGCAATGTATAGAGATGATTTAAAACATACAGAAGGGCTGGTGAGGCGGCTCAGTAGGGAAAGGTGGTTGCCACCAAGTCTGACAACCTGAGTTTAATCCCCAGTATCTACAGGGTGAAAGGAGATGAAATATTGGGCACAAGGCTCCACACACGCAAGCATACACACACGCACGCACACACACACACACACACACACACACACACACACACACCACACTAAAATAATAAGAAATCATACAGGAGAATATGTATACAGGTACTATTTTATTTATATGCTGTATTGAATATCTGAACGCTTTGTTATCGATGGGGATATCTGAAATCATAGCCAGGATATGCCATTATTTTATTTTTCTTCTTCATTACCCACTGAACTGATTTCAGCACATCCTGAGGGGTTGACATTTGAAGACCAGTAGTGAGCATGGGGTTTAACTTGAATGCTTATAGGCCAAGCAGGTGATGGAAATGCTTGAGGCTGACCTTGCTGTAGACCCTACTTGTCTAAAGTGGGCATCATCTCCTAGATCCAGCAAGCAGAAGAATGAGCTCTGGTCCTTATATTTCTTTTCATAGTGCTTGAGGATGCAAGCCAGGGCCTCATACATGCTAGACAAGTGTTCTACTACTGAGCTATACACCACAGTGGGACTTCCAAATGTTATCACTTAGGTTTTTAATTTTCAAATACTGACAACTAATGTAAACTGTAAAGACTGTAAGGCAACCTCATCTGTGACACTGAGACCTGTTTCAGACTCTGTGTATTTCCTTTGGTGCTCCTTGCAATCCCTCCCACATTAGAAAGTAGAGAATTGTGTTTAAGGAGGTCTTCTAATGCCCAGACATTCACCCACCCATCCCTTCATTCACTCATTCATTCCCACTATCATCCATTCTTTAAAGTCTGTCCTGTAGCATGCTGTGTGTATGTGTGTGATCTGGAACGTTCAGAAGTTAAGATGACTGTTATTTGAGGTCAAAGTGAGAAGGCTGCTGTCAGCGAATCAGTGTTTTGGTTACTTTTCTGTTGCTGTGAGAAAACAGTGTGACCAAGGCAACTCATACAAGAAAGAGTTTATTTTGGCTTACAGTTCAAGAGGGTTAGAATTGATCCTGGCAGGGGAGCATGGCAGCAAGAGGCTGGAGCAGCAAACTGAGGACTCATATCTTGAAACACAAGCAGAGAGTAGAGAGAACAAACTACAAATAAGGCAAGGCCTGAAGCTCTCAAATCCTACCCCCAGTGATATACTTCCTCCAGTGAGGCCACACCTCCTAAATGTCCCCAAATAGCTCTACCAAATATCCAGATACATGAGCCTATGGAGGACATTCTCATACAAACAGCCACAGTTACAAAGGGACTCCTCCCCAGAACCCAAATCTCAGAGCTTCCAGCTTGAAAAGGTAGAGGGGGAAGGGGGGGAGGGGGGGAGGGGGGGGGGAAGAGAGAGAGAGAGAGAGAGAGAGAGAGAGGTATAAGAGAGAGAGAGGTGTAAGAGAGAGAGAGAGAATGTGAACACATCAGGGAGGAAGGATGAGTGGGAGCACTTTTCTAATAACCCACAAGTCTCTTCTGATTATTTCATTTTGTCCGTAGCAGATTTTGAGCAGTATCTCCCTGCCTACCACTTAAGGGGTACAGAATTGAAGCTAGTGATTTTTCATTTTAGTTTTTTATATGAACATAAATAGTGCTTGTAAATATTTACAAAGCAGGATGATATTTTAGCATATGTCCACCTTGAATAATGATGACACCAGGATAATTGGCATTTCTGTTGTCAACATTTATCATTTCTGTTCCAGGAGCGTTCAGATTCTTCTTGCTGTTTGGAAATAAGTTGTTTACTGCAGCTATCCAACTGCAATAAAGAGCACCAGAACTAATTTCTCCCATGTGAATGTGCTTTGGAACTCATTATCTGACCTCCCTTTAGCCTTCCCAGTGACCATGGTTCTTTTCTGCTCCTATGAGATTGATTTTTGTGGCTTCTAAAATGAGAACATGCAGTGTTTATCTGTACCCAGTTCATTTCATTTAACAGAACGTCTCCCAGATCCATCTATCTTACTCCAAATGACAGTATTCCATTCTTCTTTTATGATTTAATAATATTTGTACAAGCAGATACACACCCGCACACCCACACTGTGATTTTCAAATGTATGTAATTGTTCGGGAGCAGGAATAAGCGAGGGGATTCATTTTCCCAGCGATGTCAGGTATCGGTGTAGTTTGTAAAGCAGGGGAACAGGCACGCACCTCAGGAGAAGCAGTCTGGGAATGCCAGGTGCCTGCATGTGCTCTGCATATACACAGCCCTGTAGCCCTTGCCCTCAAAAGCACCCACTCACAGCATCCTAGCAACCAAGTAAGCTCTTTTTTCACTAGGGTCTGATGGTTGTCCAGGCCCAGACCTGCCCCTGGGGGCCTCAAAGATCCCACAGTTGCTAACTGGACCAATCTTTCCTGGCCAGGCACATTCTTAGAACTACTAACTGGGACATCCAAAATCTATTCCCTTCTCTTCTATCCTCCATTGGCAGGAACAGCTAGCCAACTCTGATCCATCACCAATTTAGTGTGAGGACAACAGCAGACCTTAAATAACTGGTGTTTCATTGCTAACACAGGCACTTGCCTGAAGGCCCTATGCTGATTTTCCTGGAACTATACCCTTTGCGGATAAGGGTTTTGACTGTTTATCTTGTGCTTTTAGTGTTTGTTGAAACTATAAATGGGTGGGTGGCCTGGCCAGGTCTTTGTGCTGGTGCCTGGACTCTCACCTCCCACTAGACCCAGTGACTGTCCCTGGGAGCCTTTGGCAGTCCCATCATCTTCCCTGCTGGAAGCTGGAGAAAACAGACTGATCACAGCCCTACTTGACTCTTATTGGGTCAAAAGAGATACTTTATACCTGTTAGCCTTGAGCAAACTATTGACCAATATGGGCTTCATTTGCCTCAGAGAGAAAACTGAAGACAAAGGCACTGAGTACTGGAAGTCTGCAAGCAGACTTCGGACCAGATTGTGAATTGAGATATTTCACCTTGTGAAAGTTTTCATTTCCTGAAGCCAGAACTAGAAGTCCCGTTAGGCACCCCGAAGGTGTACTGGCTTATGTGTCAGACCCTGTATTCTGTCTAGTAATTTGAGAGCGACCTCCACTTTACAGATGAGGAAATTGAGGCTGAAGTGACAACACCTGGTGACAGCTGGGGTTAGAAGCCTCCAAATTCCTGATTCAAGCCCTTCCTCTGTTCAGGCAGCTGCCCACTCAGAAGACCTTTTAGTGTTGCTTTCAGCCCCATCTTTCAAAGGTCAAGGTGCTCCGATGGAACAGTGAATCCACACAGCCAGTCTAGGGAATCAAGACTCTCCACTCCTCTACTGCCCAGGCCACACAGAGGTGCTGGGGGACAAGGTGCCTGGGGTAATGCAGCAGTCAGGAAGGCAGTGAGCAGAGGCAAGATGTCATGTGTGCCCTGAGAGGGGTCTGAGGAAAGAAGCCATGGAAGTGGTGGGGAAGTACTGATGAATCTCCAGTGGCTTGATCCTGACCCCTGTCTGTCTGTATTCAGTGCTGGGCCTCTAGATTCCTGATGTCTGTCTGTCTGTCTGTCTGTCTGTCTGTCTGTCTCTCTCTCTCTCTCTCTCTCTCTCTCTCTGTGTGTGTGTGTGTGTGTGTGTGTGTGTGTAACTCTCTGTGTGTAACTCTCTCTGTGAAACCCTGTGTGAAACTCTCTATAACTCACTCTCCCTGTAACTCTCTCTGTGTGTAACTCTCCTTTTGTATCTCTCTGTAACTCTATAAC